CCCATCCACGCGTTGCTGTGGCTAAGGTAAATAATAGTGTGACTATAAATTGAGATGTTCTATCCTATCTTTCAAGTTGGATCAAAATGCACACGGAATGCAAATCAAATTTAAAATCGGTTTAGTAGTTTAGGAGTCCATCGCGGACAAACACGTGGCACGAAATTTTTATATATAAAGATGATAAGATAGATAGAAATTTAAGCGAATTAATGACGACATTTATTTATCCTTCGAGTAACGTGAAAAGTAATTAAAAATTACATTATTATGAAATACGTAAGCTTATAAGTGTCAATTTTAAGTTATTGCATGAGCACTAAAAATAGTGAAAACCCTAATGTATTTGGTGAATTTATTGATTGTTATCAAGTACACATCGATAAGCATTCGAAATGTCTAATTAATATAGACGTTTATTAAGAGTACAAAAATATACAGCCTTATTCTTATAAAAGGCTATTTTATATAATAAAAATATATGCTGCTTACTGCCATCACTTTACAACTACACCTTATTCGAAATTGTAGGGCCAACTCCTTTCCACTTGATTTAAGATAAATGAGCCTTTATTACATTGTTAGTTTAAAAAAATATAAATATATCTTTCCTAAGAACTGTACAACAGTATTTACAAACTACAGCAGATTTTAAAGTACACGTACGGAGTAAATTTGCTTACTACAAATTAAAATAAATATTAAGACATATGATAACCTCTTCTACCATACAACAGCAGTTTAAAAGCTACACTTTTTATGAAAGCGAATAACTTTGTCTAGAATACATCTGAATATAGATAATGAATGTAACGATGTGATAATATAAAAATAAATAAATAGCCGACTTGTACACAACCAAACAAGGTAACGCAAAAAATTGTTTTAACTTAAATTCCAATGAATTTGACGTTCAAAAGTGCCTGTAAAGGTCTGATTGTATCTAATAAATTATTTTTTGACTTTTGAATAAACAACGGCGAAAATATTCTTAGTTGGTAATCTGAATACATAGGGACAAAAGCAAATATTTATCAGATAAAGAACTGTTAGACTCGTAATTTAATAATCATAATAAAGTAGGTACTTCCCATGTAAAATCAACGAAGTTCAGAAACGTGGAAATGACACAAACATTTCCAATTTGAATCTAAATCATATCAAAATAGCTATATACATTCCTCATACCTCTGAATTGCTGAATTAAACGACTAATCACGTTTTAAAAGTTTTGCATCAAGTAGATATTATATTAATATTCATAAACGAATGTTACTAATTACCTTAATAGACACTTATATGTTTTTAAGATGAGAAGTAAGTTTAACAGAGTTTCTTCTTCCATATTTGTACTATGGCGGTCATAAAAATATTTTCTTATCGATACAAAGATTTCAAATTGTCCCTCTATAAAAACTATTACCTATGTTATTAAAGGACACTCAAGGCGCTTTGTGTTAATATTTAAAACAACTACGAAATATTAAGAAGACATGATTTTATTTGGTTCTAGAATACTTAATGGATTATGATATAAAAAAAATATTATTTATTGCAAATATAAAAAAAATATTATTTATTGACTTGTAACTAGAAACACTGATAAATCCTAAACTAGTACCTACTTCTAGAAAAGACGCTGCAATAAATAGAAAATTTTGTGTAATGTCACTTATCGATACACTACAAATCCAAAAATTTCATTACCAATCACGTCAAATCTATAAACTCTTTTCAACAATCACAATTCTACATTTTATTAAAATTTAAATCACCTTTTTTACTTTAAGTATAGTTAAAGGACAGAAATTTAATTATTTAACAGCGATGATGCAAACAACAAAATACAAGCGAACAATATGAAGTATGTAGCATATGAATACACTATATTTACTAGCTTCTGTCATTTTGACTTAACTCGCAGTATGTGTTACTCCACACTATAATCTACCTCTATTTAACCCTTAAAGTCAGTGTAGGGTGCCGCCAAATGTGGCGCATCTGGTTCCCAGATTGGATCTGGGTCTTACGACCCGTCCATATCAGAGCTCCGGTGAAAGACAGCCTCAAATTGGTTTATAGAACGGAATATTCATCAAAATTGGGAAGGGAAGAAAGAAGGAATGGAAGGATTTAATCATTAGAATTAAAATAAACGAAGGCCATCGGAACTGGATGGATACCGCTCTACTATGGGAATGTGATACTACCCAGTTTGCGGCTACCCAACGACATATAAAGACAATCAGGTTAGGTTAGGACCACCTCCCAATTAAGTGAAACAGCAGCAATGCAATTTAACAACGACAGAAAATGATAATAGGTAACAGCGCATGCGTACGCTAGTTGAAAGTAGAATTTTCAGCGGGGTCATCAATTTCAGATGTGACGCATTAGTTGAGTACCTTATAACCTGCAGCTTGTAGTAAAGCCTATCTTTACTACAAGGTGCCGTGGGGAAAAAAATAGTGCGAACAGTGAATATGTATTTGCAGGAATTGTCAATGAATTGTAAAGGTAAAAGGTAGGATAAATATATAATTTATGAGTTTAGAAAAAAGGAAAAGATAAGTATTAGAGTACATGAGATGATGAAAATAATGGAGATGGATGATGAGACATTTAATACTTACACACCTAACGGAAGGAACAATATAAAATTAGTTCCTCCTACCTCTTAAAGAATGGTAAGTAATTCTATTAAAAACGCTACTAATGTGCTTAAACACGAATAAATCTAAGAGTGCGTAAAGTTGTGATGATGGTCAAAATAGTATTATAAAGAATAACATTTCAAACCATATCACCTTATACCCTAGCTATAAAATATCCAATTGAAAAAATCAGCTTCAAAAGCTTAGTAGACAAAAGGACTACAGACACATTTAAAAAGTTTTTACTCCTATTTTCCCTATTAAACCTACACGTTTTGCAGCTTGTCTTGTGACGAGAAACCTTACATAAATATCGGTGAAATATAGCTACGGATTTCATCCTCGATATATTTGAGTCTACGTATAAGTAATAGCTACTAATATACTACTACAAACCGTGACCTTCTTACTTACAGACAAAACTACACATTGACGATTATAAAGCTATCATGCTAATAAACATTTAATATAAAGGTGCTTTTGTATCACTAACTGTAATATTTTAAAACTTTATATTTCAAAATCTATTGGGTAAATACAGGATATATAGACACAAATAGACCATAAATTTACCTAAAATATTTGTTATATTTAACAATATGCTAAATTTAAAATTCAGAATAAACAGGCATTTTTAAAGAACATATAATTTTAAATGTATTAAAACATCTAAGCCAATATGGAATATAACCGGCAAGGGTTCGATTTTTTTTACAACTATCCATATAGATTCAAAATATGCATTAATTAAGAATAAATCTGCTACTTGATTTTAAAAGATGTCTATTAACATTATTTAATTATTATACACTAATAAAAGTCATTGTGGCTTAGGGGTTAGGTACCGAGTAAACCTATTTTATAGATAAAAATATGACATTGTTATCTGAAATGAAGAAAACCTACGTGTGGGGTCAAACTTATAATCCTTACTATTCATTCACCAGCAAAGTTGGAACCAAATGCTGTTCTTAGATAACAAAACCAAATATGAAAAAGAGCACGCAGCTAAATTCATTGACGAACAAATTTAACACATGCGTAGTGATTTATTGGTGTACTTAGATAGCGCTCAATATTCCGTTTTTTTTATCGGTATTGTGGCATACGGACAGAAGTATCACCTGATGCTAGGCAATCAGCGCCGGCCATGGGCAACCACAACTCCGATGGGATAACATTTCAATTGCAGGCTTTTTGAAGGTTAGACCTTTTGACACTTCGACGTTTACTACTTTTACTGTAACAAATATATTTTTAATACCACGCAATTAAGCGGCAATGAAAGAAAACTACATAATATACAATTATTTTTATCCCCAGACGATGGCGAATAGAAATTTTTAATAAACTCCGTATTATGAACATGCATACAATATTGTAAGTGTACTTTGTGATAAAATACAGCTAGAAACAAAATATTTACATTTATTTAGTTCTTTTATGTACATTTTAGTTTAATAAGTAGGTTCTGTCTTTTCATATTTTTATTTGGTACCTTAATCTAATAGACATAATGGAATTACATTTACTCTAAAACACGACGAGTTGACGAGCAACATGAGACATAAGGCCCCAAGAATGCAATTCTATTTTCGTGGATACTGAGAATAAGTGTGACAAAGAAAATAGTACTTTAATAAATATATTTGGTAACAGTTTATACATCAAAATGTTTTTAAAAGTCATGAACACTAATTACATCGTAAAACGTAAACGAATTCATCTGTAAGGAAGCTACAAGTGGAGAATGTACAACGGCTCAAACAAAGCGCTTTTTAAAATCCACTTCCTTCTCTAGAATCTTGTATATTGAAAATCTATGAAATAATCAGAACACTTAAAATACTCTAGCATATCGGATAGATCGGACAACCGAAATTAAAGACCCGAATCTTATCCTTCTCAATTTTTTGAACATTTCAATCCTAGAGCCTTGCCTTCTGTTGCACATCGAATAGATACATATTTTATGATTTCGTAAAATTACAAATACAGAATTCTAAACCACAGTCCAATGTTTTGATTAAAATCTAATTAATAATTACATCGTAAGAATGAAAAACTATAATAGCACATATGTATTTAAAGTACAACATTATATTATCTTAAAAATGCTTATAATAAACAAAGAACTCTCTTCTAGTTCGGAACCGTTGTAGAGGAAAGCAATATCATCAAGCGTTATCATTATAAAGACAATTGGACTTTTGAACATTTCTAGTTTTTATAAACGACTCTCGAACAACACAGTTTAAAACAGGCATCTACAGTCAAGATCATCTACAAGCACATTGATAAATTTTTAACTACAATTTAAAACATTACCTGTTAATTCATTGGAACTAGGTTTAGAATTCGATACATTTCTGGTACTTATCATTTCGCGTCATACATTTCTTTGATGCGGGTCTTCAGTTGCTTTGTGTAACTATCCAAACGATAAGCATTTTCCTCAAGTCTGGCTACCATGATGTCAATATCGTCAATTTGAGAAAGCAGCGGCTTGATGGTGTTGCCATCTGTACGAACAAAGAAGTTTACATTATTTAGGTATTATGTTGCGCAGTCTATATTAAACCTATCGTTTATTACTTACAGAGGTCGTTGTATTCCATCAGAGTCCGATTCAGGTTCACAGCGAGATTGCGCAAGTCCGTATACTTGGTAATGGCCAAACGATTGATTTCTTCCAGCAACATGTAATGATCCTAAAAACACGAAAATAATTAAGAAACAAACACAAAATTAATGAATTATTTTAATCAGCATAATCAAACGAGTCAAAATATCAATTGATAATACATACACCTCCAGAAGCAATTTCCCCTTGCAAGTACTCATTTGTTCGTTTGAACAGAAGGGTAGCCAAACGACTCAAAGTGGGGTCATGCGGATCGAGAACCTCAAAGCTTGAATGCGTAGGCGATGCGTAGATATCTAGAATATAAAAAACAGCGGCTCAACAATTGTACAAAAGCAGAGAAAATTGTTTAATTGTAGATCAGCGCTTTTTCAATATTCTCATCTAAAAAATACATTATTACGTATCTTGGGATAATGCAGAGTATCACAAATAAGGGCTAAGCATGGAGGAATTGACTGATTGATTTAAAGATATTGACGACCGATGGTTTAGTCGACGACAGAATGCGGAAGCTCACTGTTTCCGTCACCCATATTTTTAATTTCATAATTCACGCTAATATTGAATAAGTAATTAGGTAAGATACACAATATTAAATAAGTAGTCGAAGCGGAACTAACATTTATGTGAAAATAAATAGAACTTCATATTGCTGGCTGATCTTTGCGGTTACAACAATTCCCTCAATTATCAAGACCTACATTATGACACTAAAATATATAACTAAATGACAACCAATTAAAACCTATTCGTTTAATGTAAGATGTTCTAAGTCACTAGAATACCAACGCGCATAAACTTTAGGAAGCGTTTCGTTTATAGCGCAGCCTAAATGCAAACGCCATTTTGGTTAGCGCCGTGGCAGCTGTACATGTACCGGGAGAGCGAAAAGGGTGCCTTCCCCTTGTCCCGGATCTATTTATTTAGCCGTTTATGTGAGGAAGAAAGAGATAGATAGCTAACAAGGTACTTTAAGAGGATGGGCAACGGATGGATAGAGAGGGGATTTATAGCAAATGCTTACCGGAACTGTTGGGCGGGGTTGAAATATAAAATCGTAACAATTTACTCATTGTTAAGGGAGTGAACTATCCTACAAGAAAAATATCTAGTTTTAATTAGGCTACGCATTTCTTATGCTGCAAACTTATGTACCTAATATAATTCTATGTTGTGTTTGTACTTTGAACTGAAAATAACAAGCTAGAGTATAAAATAAATAGTCTTTGTCTGCATTTTAAGCCCGTCACAGGTATCCAATGACCCTATGCAAGTGCCTTAAAATATTCAAAAATACATATACATATGATAATATCATATGTATTAATCGTGTTACACCTACATATATATTATATATGTTGTATGTTGTATTATGTAACACGATTAATTGAGTAACTAAAAGTTGATGTTTTTGTTGTAGAAGCTAGAAGTTGCACAAATGAAGACATCAATTTCGTATCGGTCCTCTAATGAAATGACATAAGGTGATTTTAATTTCGGTCCACAAACCCGCAAAAGGAGGCCCTGACGGAGACCTAGATTATATCCAGTAAACATTCCAAGACCAAACACCATCCTCAGTCAGTAAGAATTCAACTTCAGGAAATTATCCATTCTTACATTCGAGGTGGATTCAAAAGGCAATTTTCAACCCTGTCTCTAACAGATTTATAACTGATTACAATTCTAGTTTACGAAAGAGATCCAGAAGTCCCCCTATCACCATCACCCCAGGTGACTGTTTACATTAGACTATGCAGTAGATGGAGTAGTGACATCCAAAACTACCCAATACACTCGATTATTCCTCTATCAAGATGGATCTAGTTTGAGTCTTCTAGAAGGAAAACTAGCAGGTTTATGTTTAATGGGAGATGAGTTGATGACAGTCTATTGGGTACTATCTGGTCATTTTGTACTCCTTGAACGCTATAAAGACAACGTATCTAAGGGAACCATGCCACACCTCCCTCCCAAGACCGTCCCACTCAGCTCTATCTGAGACCACCACCGAAGAGAAATGAACGGTAAACAGGCAACAGTACCTGTAGACCGCATCAAGCCGGCCTTCATACTGCGTGACCCTGGCACCACATCACATTCACCACATAACACATGACACTGGTTACTAAACAACACCACTACTCACTACACACCTAACGCAGATAACCGAGAATCATCTTCTCCTAAGAATGACGTCATTAAAACGTCATGGTCAGGACGTCGCGTTAAAATTCCCAGACTATTATCACCTTGACGGTCTCTGGAGGGGGGATGTATTCAATGGTTCCACCATTGACTTGGACCAAACGTCCTCCACCCCTCTCTGCTAACGTTGCATTAGATCGATAATATGCAGTTGCGCAGCAGAAGCATCGCCATTTTGTTATGATGTCTTTGTTCTCCAAAAGGTCAATTAGACAAATTAACATAATTATATTGAGAAAACACGTCGTTACTAAAATATGTATATAGATAAACCAAAAGTTAAAAACACGTTTTTATTTTCAATTTAAGCGCAATTATGGTAAGGAAGGACTTATTATATCACCTATACAACATAACTAAGTCTTACCATCATAGTTAGCATAGTCGTTATAGTCATATTCGTAGTCACTTTCGTCATCATATTCATGATCATCTTCAACACGATTCTCTCGAGCTTCTCTTGCCTGTTGCGCCTGCTGAAGCTCGATAAGTCGAATGTTCACACAGACTTTGCAGTCAGCGTAAAATACGAAAGGAGAACGCATGGTTAACAGATTTTAAGTAACAGTTTATTAGATAACACGATATGAACGAAAATCTACACCATTATACGGAATCGTGACACAAAGTAGCGACTTGGTTGGTAACCCGGCGGAAACTGGGTGAGACGAGGGGTCCGAGCTAGACGCATTTATCGAGGGGTCGATATGACGCATGCGCGTTTAGCTTCGTCTGGTTTTGAGCAAACAGAAGGGTCAACCCAATGAAATACACAAGTAAAGCAACCCTACGACGTATGAGTAAGGTATATATAATATATATATATATACCTTTGAGAAATTGAAAAGTGGCAACTAAAATTTGAAATTAATATATATATTCAATTTCAATTTCTCGACGTACAACAAATTGTATTGCCATTAACATAAAACCTACTTTCTTAAAAATATTCCTTTTCCTTTTATTCCTTTCAAAAAATTTAGTACAACTGATGAAAATTGTGACGTTTTTTTTTTTTTTATTCAGAGTAACTGAAATAACGTACTTATACTCTAGTTTATTAAGGATAATAAATATTTCACGTAGCAATAGTATTTATTTGTCAAAATGTGAAAATGTAAAGGGTAGGTATTAATTTACGTCAGTTTTGTTATCATACTTTATAGCGAATAATAAATAAAAATAAGGCGGATTCTAGTTCTTTGTCATATTTATTCGAAAAACACAGCTTTTTTATATTACTTATTGAATCAACAAATTACAAAATATTTTAGAAAACAGTTAAAAATACAATTTTGTCTCGGTTTTGTTACCACAGTCTTCAATTCAATAATTGTTTATCATGCGTAAAATGTAAACTGAACAATATCATATGAAGAAAATGTTCAGAATATTGTTAACCAAAACCAAGAATAAGTACTGAAAGGTAAGAATTTTACGACAAAATCTTCCAAAATGTTGCAAAACAAAAAGGGGTTAAGTAACAAAACAGACGGTAACAAAATTGTTAAGCTTGGTTTGCATTCCTTCAAAAAACAATGAAACTAATAATAAATATTTACTTAGCCCGCAAGGCAGCTTGTGGCGAGCTGTTGGGCAGTTCCGGCCCCACGGACCTGACTCCCGGGAGGTGTCTTGTTTTTCACCTCTGGTTAGTCCTCGTGACGAGCTGGAGTGAAGACACTGATGAAGAACAAGCCCTCCCACCTCATTCTTGCCTTAATTGGCTGGCTTGAGTGGAGATTCGCAAGAGTAGGAGTTGAAGGAGACTCGGGGGAAGGCTGTATCTCAGTAAGGTGCTGGTAGGGGTCTTGACCCGTACTTCCGGGATTGCTCTGATAGCCGTGGGATGCCTCTCCTTCCCCATGCAGCTCAACGTATGTTGCCCCCTTGTCGCTACATGCTAGCGGCCGTTTCCGGGGGCCCATTAATTGAGTTTGCCAGTCACCCCCTGCCTGTTTATCCGTATGTATCAATATTGGTCAGGGGCAGGGGCCATAGTATCTCCATAGTTATCCACCAGTCCATAGCAACCCATACCCTATAAATTTTTACCACATTTCGCAATAGTCCTCCATCAACCGAGGATTGTCCTTGGGTGTACTTTCATAGTGCATACAGGGATAATTGCCGGCTGATGTTCCATCACATTTAGATTAAAACTGTTCAACGGGCCTCTGTGAGTTGGCTTCGGCCCCTCGTACCAAAGGCCCGGGACCCAGTGGTCCCGTGATAGGAAAGAATATTTAATTATATATCGACATCTCTTTAAATAACTGTATGTAAAATAGAAATCAAGTGGGCCCATATTGCTGGAGGTTGATGAGAGAGATTGTCGGATATTGTGCAAAAAGATTGTGTTTTATTTTTCAAATAAATCATGGCGTATGGAGACTGATCTGAGGTTTCGAGGCACCAAAGTGCATGGAATGTATTTCTTCTGTTAGTTTACTCTGATAATTTTCAGAGAAATCACAAATTATACACACACAAATATTCCGTTGATTTCATATTATTAACCACCTTTGGTATTCCTTTTGTTGGTGAACATAGTTGTAGTGGTGTTTCTTATAAGCTACAATGTCGCGGCTACAATCGTCTATTATTTTTTGAGCAATGTCAGTTTTGGTTATTCGAACAGACTTTTTTGTGTGATGGTTCCACATTTTTTTGTGTAAGTGTAATCTTGGCGTTCCCACCGATTCCAATAAACCGTTACATGTATGTCTTGATCTGCTGCAAATGTTGGTATTTTGTTTTTGCATTTTTCACATTTGTTATACATACAATCACATTTTTTTGTACAATCAATTTGTAAAAATCATCGTTTATCAATCGATGCCTCCGTAAACTCTTATATTGAAATATTTGAAATTTGATATCCTCATGTTCTTCCTCGTTTTTTTTAAAGCTCGTTTAAATAAAAGCTTGTTTTTGTTGGTTTTGTTTTTGAGCCAATTGAAGTTTCTTTTTAATTTTATTTACTTCTATTTTCTGTTCTTGTTCTGTTGTTCTGTTTTGAGGCTCGGGCATAGGTGGCGGTCTGTTAATATCATGCTGACGTTGTCTTCTTATCCTTTTATCA